TTTAACTGACAAATCCATATTTTCCCTAGGCTTTCTTAACTTGTTTAACTCACTCCAAAATTTTTTCTATTTTCATTAAAATTTCTTGACAGTGCCTCTCCCACTCTATCATCTGCTCTCCTTTTGCACTCTCTCACCACTCTCTTTACCTTTCTTTTACTCTCCATATACTCTGCTCTTCTTATAACACTTCTGCTTTGTAAAAACCTCTCATAAGCTACCTTTTCTCTTTTATCACACCCTTTACTTCATCATTCCCCCAATCACTCCTTCTTTCCTCCTGCCCCCACCCTCCTAAAACCACAAACTTCTGCCCCACATCTAATACTGCTTTTTTTAAAACTATTCCAACCCTCTTAAAACCCCCCCCACTACTCATCTTTGCACTAGCCCACCTTTCTGCCAATAGTCGCTTATATCTCACCCGAACTTCCTCCCCCCTTAGTTTATACACTTTCACTTCCTCTTACTTGTTGTTGCCACCTTCCTCTTTTCCCATCTACCTTTACTCTAACTGTAGCTACAACTAAATAATGATCCGATATATCAGTTGCCCCTCTATAAACATGTACATCCTGGAGCCTACCCATCAACCTTTTATCCCCAATACATAATCTAATAAACTACTTTCATTACTTTGCTACATCATACCTTGTATATTTATTTATCCTCTTTTTCATAAAATATGTATTACTTATTCCCAAAAATTTCTTTCTACACATAGCTCAATTAAAGGCTCCCCATTTACATTTACCCCGGGGCACCCCAAATTTACCTATACTCCCTCCATAACATTTTTACCCACTTTAGCATTAAAATCCCCAACCACCATTACTCTCCCCACTTGATTCAAAACTCCCCACGCATTCATCAACATTTCCCAAAATCTCTCTCTCTCCTCTACACTTCTCTCTTCTCCAGGTGCATACACGCTTATTATAACCCACTTTTCACATCCAATCTTTATTTTACTCCCACATAATCTTGAATTAATACATTTATAGTCCCTCTTTTCCTGCCCTAGCTTATCCTTCAACATTATTGCTACTCCTTCTTTAGCTCTAATCTATTTGAAACCCTGACCTAATCCCATTTATTCCTCTCCACTGAAACTCTCCCACCCCCTTCAGCTTTGTTTCACTTAAAGCCAGGACATCCAGCTTCTTCTCATTATAACATCCACAATCATCTCTTTCTTATCATCTGCACAACATCCACGCACATTCAGACTTCCCACTTTGACATTTTCTTCTTTTATTCTTTTTAGTAATCTTTACAGGAAAAGGGGTTACTAGCCCATTGTTCCCGGCATTTTAGTTGACTTTTACAACACGCATGGCTTACGGAGGAAAGATTCTTATTTCCACTTCCCCATGGATATAAAAGGAAAATTAATAAGACCAAAAAAACTATTAAGATAAAATCAAAGAAAACTCAGATGAGTGTGTATAAATAAATGTGTACATGTATGTGTAGTGTGACCTAAGTGTAAGTAGAAGTAGCAAGACATGCCTGTAATCTTGCATATTATGAGACAGACAAAAGACATCAGCAATCCTACCATCATGTAAAACAATCACAGGCTTCGTTTTACACTCACTTGGCAGGACGGTAGTACCTCCCTGGGTGGTTGCTGTCTACCAACCTACTACCTATATATCAATTAAAGGCTTCCCATTTTCATTTACCCCTGGCACCACAAATTTACCCACTAATCCCTCCACAACATTCTTACCCAGTTTAACATTGAGATCCCTAACTTCAAGTACTCTCTCACTTGGTTCAAAACTCCCCACACACACACTCAACATTTTCCAAAATCTCTCTCGTCTACACCTCTCCTCCAGGTGCATAAATGCTTACTATAACCCACTTTTCACACCCAACCCTTATTTTACTCCACATATATCCTCTTTTTTCCTGCCATAATTTATCCTTCAACATTATTACTACTTCTTTAGCTCTAACTCTATTTGAAACCCCTGACCTAATTCCATTTTTCTCCCCACTGAAACTCTCCCACCCCCTTCAGCTTTGTTTCACTTAAAGCCAGGACATCCAGCTACTTCTCATTCATAACATCCACAATCATCTCTTTCTTATCATTTGCACAATACACGCACATTCAAACATCCCATTTTGATGGTTTTTCTTCTTTTTCTTTTTAGTAGGCTATATGGGAAAAGGGGTTACTAGCCCATTGTTCCTAGCATTTTAGTTGACTTTACAACATGCATGGCTTATGGAGGAAAGATTCTTATTCTACTCACTTCCCCATAGATTTACCACCATTTAAAGAAGTAAGCACAGTAGGAAATTAAGATGGTTAACCTTACATAAGCTTAGTGCACATATGTAAATTTTAAAAAATTGTCTTAAGGGCACATAGATGCTACAGGCACATAAAAGAACATTAAGGAGGTCTCGCCTAGGATACCCAAGTAAAGTCAAACAGTGCGACTTATTTATGATTGGAATCAACATTTTCCAATTATTTCACAAATAAATTTGATTATTAAAATTGGCACATGATAACTTACACAACCTAACATCGAGGAACATTGAGGAAAACACATGAACACTAAAAGTTTGAAGTTGACCGGAAGATGCATTTTCCAGTTATTGCACAGTTATTGATGCTTCAGCCATTAAAGAATGATTCTGTTTAAAATTGTTATGCAGTATTTTAATCAGAGGAAAGTGCTAAGCTCTATGGGTTTAGCACTTTCTGTGGAATGGGAGGTATTCAGATTTGATACAAGCAAGGAGGACAAGTCCAGTTTCTGGGATCAACAGCCCCTCACTAGCATCAAGGCAAAATAATGAATAATGCAATAAGGTAAGATAATCCTGTACCATTTCAAGATTAAAAGTGACAAAAGAGCATCTATACATAACTACGTCTCATCAGGATACATGAATGTTGAAATTTTGCAACTGAGCAGAGGGGCCTGTCTCTTCATTTTACACAGGAAGAAAATTTGGAAATGGCCTATTTAGCAGTGTGCATAGAGTACCCACCCATTTAAATAGTACCATAACTCTTACCCAAGATACATAAACAAGCATTGAAAATTGAAGCTAATCAAATAGGTGTTCTTGAGTAATAAACAAAAATTTGTGGGAAAGTAAATGGAAATGTTGCTGAGAATGTTTTGAAAAATAGGAGTCTCCTTTCTTTAAAGTTGAAAACACCATTAAACCAGGGCTTTTATTTTCAGTTTACTTTTCTCATTTATGTTCTGTTTAAAGGTCTCTACAATCCTGTAAGAAAAAATATTTGATTTTGATTCTTTAAAATAATCCAATTTGATAAAACTGGCAAAAAAAAAAATTGGCAAATTGCAATTTACTTAGTCCAAAATTAGTATAATAAATTTCCTATAAGATACATCAGAATTTGTTGTTAGAAGCTGATCAGAAGAGCCATTCTCTAGTTATTACTTGGGGAAACAGTTTGCTTATTAAAATTATTAAATTTAAATTTACACATCTCAAAGTAAGTGAGAAGCTACGTTTTAATAAAGCACACCAGTGGTAAAAAGTTCAATGCTGATCAGAAAAGGCATTCTTCAGTAATTGATCTTTTTCCAACAGTTCCAGGTTATTAAACTATTTCAGTAAAATTTTAAAATTTTCATCTTATACTAAAGTTTGTTGGGTATTATCCATCTTATAGACTGCATCATTAATAATATTTTGAAGTCATTCAGAAGAAGCATTGTTCAATTATTGAGAAAATATAAAATCATTATTTATTCAATGAAATTAACAAATTGGGATGTGTGAAAATGTGAAGGCAATCAGAGGAGTCATTCTCCAGTTATAGTGATTTCAACTTTTTTTTTAATACATCAACAAATTTATTTGCATGCAAATGAAGCTCAATAGGTACTATCCTGGCCTTAAGAAAAGAGGAGATACACTGAATATTATATAGCAAGACTTGATGGGATTTAAGATTTCATACTATTTTTTCACATAAAATGGTCAGATCTGCACCCACACATTTGAATTTCACTTGGTCTTCATAACTGTACACAAGTGTTCAAAATTTTAAACTGAGTGGATGAGGTGTTCTTGGGTTGTGAGCAAAATAAAATGGAAAACTTGGAGGAAGATAGAAGAAAAGCAAATTTCAGGCAACCTCTTGAAGGTATCCTTTTTGGGGATACCTTATAATTATCATAGAACAATAAATATAAACTTCTTAACCCCCAAAGTTGTTTCTTCTAGTTCACTCTTCTTACAATGATGAATTTGAGCGATTCTTGAAGTACGGTAATACAGTTGATTTCCTATTATGCATCAGATTTTCACTGGCATTATTTTATCGATTTTTTTCTACTATAATTTGTTAATGAAATGCACTTGCTTTGTGTACAGGGTGTTTTGGTGCATGTGTGGTATCTCATTATATTTTGGTTCAAATTAGTTATGAAACTAGGAATTTTGCACTAAATGTTTCATTTTTGCTTGGTACACAACCCCTAACTTGAAAACTAAATAGGATTGTGCTCAAAATGTTTTCATTGGCTATCCCACACCCAAATTTTTATATAAAATTTTTCTTGTGATTTTGAAGGCAATTAGAACAATGTTTAAAGATATAAAATATGTCTAAAATGCTAATAAAAGAATTTGCAAAAATATTGGTATATTCATTCAGCATTTTTGAAAACACAGCACATTACCCTCCATCAGCACTAGAAAGTTTATGATATACTGTATGTAAATAAATGTAGTATGTGGTAATTAGATGATGCATGCTCCGTGAAAAATTACTTCCATTAATATTTTAAATGTTTGATGAAGCTTAATTCAAAACTTCCGGACAGTGAATATAAGCCCTCTGTATATTTAGAATGATATTTATTTTGTGAAATATATGTATGTGTATCACAACTTGTTTGTAATATCATTTTTATCACAATATAATCTTTAAAATATACTTTTTCTTTTCAATTATTTATAGATATTTGGTATTGCTTTCTTCTCAGAAATGACTTGTACGTGACTTTAAACAGTGGAGAATTTGAGAGAGGCGGCAAGTCTGTGGGTAAGAACATTGAGGTAACTGTGCTGACTCTGGATGCTGAAGGACAGGCTTTGCAGGTATGCACTTGGGATACATTAGGCTCTCTTAGTTTGAAAATAGTATTTAAAATTCTGTTGAATTTTATCAGTACAGATTTTTTTTTCTCTCAACAAACCGGCCGCATCCCACCAAATCAGGGTAACTTAAGATGAATTAAAAATCATTTTTTTTTTCAACAATGTGGTTGTATCCCACTGAGGTAGGGTGACCCAAAAAGAAAAGTGACAGTTTTTCTTTTTAAATTTAGTAATTTATACAGAAGGGGTTACTAGCTTCTTGCTCCCGGCATGCTAGTCGCCACTTACGACACACATGGTTTACAGAGGAAGAATTCTTTTCTACTTTCCCGTGGAGATAAGAGGAAATAAAGAAGAACAAGAACTATTTAGAAAAATAGAAGAAAACCCAGATGGGTGTGTATATATATGCATGTGTAGTGTGACCTAAGTGTAAGCAGAAGTAGCAAGATATACCTGGTATCCCGCATTTAATTTTATACGTGTTATAATAAAGTACAGCAATGTCATATAATACATTTTCTCTCCACCTACACTTGGCAAGTAGTTATTGGGTAAGTCAACAATCATTACTTAATAAATCAGATCTTCCATCAAATTATCATAGAAGAAAAGAACTGGTGCTCAACAGCATTATAAAAGGTTTCTGATTGAATGCAGATCTATTTGCAAAATCTCTGCAACACAGATTTGATTGATCTGTTGATGCTGCCAAAAAACAAGAGAGAAATATTGAATAAAAAAAATGCACAATACTTTTACTGAAACAATACACAAATAACCAACAAATTGTAGACTGAAACTTACCTGGAGTTTACCTGGAGAGAGTTCCGGGGGTCAACGCCCCCGCGGCCTGGTCTGTGACCAGGCCTCCTGGTGGATCAGAGCCTGATCAACCAGGCTGTTACTGCTGGCTGCATGCAAACCAATGTACGAGCCACAGCCCGGCTTGTCAGGTAACGACTTTAGGTGCTTGTCCAGTGCCAGCTTGAAGACTGCCAGGGGTCTGTTGGTAATCCCCCTTATGTATGCTGGGAGGCAGTTGAACAGTCTGGGCCCCTGACACTTATTGTATGGTCTCTTAACGTGCTAGTGACACCCCTGCTTTTCATTGGGGGGATGTTGCATCGTCTGCCAAGTCTTTTGCTTTCGTAGTGAGTGATTTTCGTGTGCAAGTTCGGTACTAGTCCCTCTAGGATTTTCCAGGTGAATATGATCATGGATCTCTTTGGAAAGCATATAAATCTATAGGGGAAGGAAGGCGGGGTAGGGGTCGTCCTCGAAAGGGTTGGAGAGAGGGGGTAAAGGAGGTTTTGTGGGCGAGGGGCTTGGACTTCCAGCAAGCATGCGTGAGCGTGTTAGATAGGAGTGAATGGAGACGAATGGTACTTGGGACCTGACGATCTGTTGGAGTGTGAGCAGGGAAGGGATTCAGGGAAACCGGTTATTTTCATATAATCGGATTTGAGTCCTGGAAATGGGAAGTACAATGCCTGCACTTTAAAGGAGGGGTTTGGGATATTGTCAGTTTGGAGGGATATGTTGTGTATCTTTATATGTATATGCTTCTAAACTGTTGTATTCTGAGCACCTCTGCAAAAACAGTGATTATGTGTGAATGAGGTGAAAATGTTGAATGATGATGAAAGTATTTTCTTTTTGGGGATTTTCTTTCTTTTTTTGGGTCACCCTGCCTCGGTGGGAGACGGCCGACTTGTTGAAAAAAAAAAAAAATCTCTCCCGCCTGCATTCCAGGGAATACAGGTTCAGGAACCTCAAGCGCTCTCAGTAATTGAGGTGTTTTATCTCCGTTATATGCGCCGTGAAGGTTCTCTGTACATTTTCTAGGTCAGCAATTTCACCTGCCTTGAAAGGTGCTGTTAGTGTGCAGCAATTTTCCAGCCTAGATAGAACAAGTGACCTGAAGAGTGTCATCATGGGCTTGGCATCCCTAGTTTTGAAGGTTCTCATTATCCATCCTGTCATTTTTCTAGCAGATGCAATTGATACAATGTTATGGTCCTTGAGGATGTTTCAGTCCAACTTGGAACATTAACCCCTTAACTGTCCAAACGTAGATCTGTTTTGTTTTCTCTAGCACTCCAAACATAGATCAACGTATTATTTTTTCTGCTTCCAAATTTGGCACAATTGGCCTGAGATGCATGATCAGCATAGAATGGGTCTTAACACTCGGTGTGCACAGTAAAAAAAAAATCTGGGACCACTGAGTACCTTGTGGGAGCACCAGTTTAATTGAGTGCCAGTTAAAGCAAACAGTGCAGCAAACATCATCAGTGATGTTGACCCCAAGTTTAGTGGCTTTGAGGTAGATGTGGCCACAAGTGGTCAAGGAAATATCAAATAATAACCCATGTGCAACATCCTTTCAATTTTGGTACCACTGGTAGTGTCATCCTGCTAGAATGTCCTATAACCTATGCCCTAAGTAAAGAGAAACAATTCTGGAACGTGTAATAAGTGTTTGGCAGGCTGGCTGGCGGCTGGCTGATTGGCTGTTTCTATCTCCGTCTGTCTGCATCTGTCTCTATCTCTTTCAGTCTGTCTCACAGGTACACATAAATACAATTATACATAGTGTAAATTACCTAGGATAACCCAAAAAATTCAGGTCAAGTGATTGTGCTTGTAGATATGCATAATAAGCATGACTGACAAGTAATACGCATTTTCACTTGTTCAGGGTTCAGACGTGGCAACTCTGGATTGTGTGTAATACCTGTTGGTTCATGAGTCACTCTGAGACAGAAAGAGACAAGCAGAGAGACAGAAAGAGAGACAAGTAGACAGAAAGAGAGACAAGTAGACAGAAAGACAGATAAGCAGAGACAGATAAACAGAGAGCTAGACAGACAGACATGTTTGTATGTAACAGTGAAAACAAAGCAAAGGCAGTGCACAATCATCAGATGTGTCTCCACTGTTGCACTGTCAGCAGTGGAGTGACACTCGTCTTACTCCTGTGTGTCCAAAACATTGCTGAGACCTATAAATACAGTGGACCCTCGGTTATTGGCTGTAATCCGTTCCAGGAGGTCGGCCTAAAACTAAAATAATATTCCCCATAAGAATTAACTCTTCGACTGTCCAAGCCCATTTTTGAAACTGTCATTCTGTGTCGAAAAATATTAAAAAAAAAAAAAAAAATTTCTTGCCAAAATGTTAGGTTTATTTTACTGAGTGTTTTAAACCTAAAAAAAATTTTGCCATCAATACTTACCGAAATATAGAGGCGCAAAGTTGGCAGAAAATGAGCCGCATATGGCAACAGCGGCGAATGCCGCTCACCCAGTATTCTTTTATGTACTCCAATTCGAAGGTTTCTTGTATTTCCCAATGTTTTTGTTTTCTAAGTAACTTGTGGCCCGTGAGACCGAAGCAAGGTGCATTGTTCAAATGTACACTCATTGTATGCAACACAATAACCACACAAACATCATTATTATATTGTTTACAAAACTTGTTCACACAAACCAACAATACAAAAAAATGTTTATTACTGTTGTTCTATAATATTTATACAGTGGAACCTCTATTTGCGAGCGTGTCCACGTGCTCGTTTTTCTAAATAAGAGCAGTCGATTTTTTTGCTTCCATATGCGAGCAAAATTTCCATTAGCGAGCAGACTTCAAGACAGGTTCCTTGACACTGGTTAGGGGCTCTTGCTCTTGATCTTGGGAATTGTATCTTATTTGTTTGTTGGACTATCTTATTGTCTTATTGAAACTTAGGCAATGTGTGATGGAAAGATGCTTCTTAACGTACACCAAAAATGAAAGAAATCTAAGCATAAATAATGGAGTTCACTTCTCAGCAATTAGTCGCCCCTTAGCGGTATTTTCGTATGGATTTTATGGTTGTATTCTCGTTTTTTTTTTGGTCTCATTTGATAGAATGGAAGATATATTACAGAAATAGATGTGATTTTGATTGCTTTCACAATGAAAAGTACCTTGAAATTGAGCTCAATGTAGGAGAAATGGTCCATTGCTTGGCTGTGTTTAAGAGTAAACAAATTAGGTCACTGTCTATTCCAGTATGCAGTCATGAATGGGTTGACATTATTTATACAATTATTGCAATAAGAAATAACAGTAAATCTTATATTTTTTGCGTGAGTAAAAATTACAAATTATTTATGTAGTAGTAGGTTGGTAGACAGCAACCACCCAGGGAGGTACTACTGTCCTGCCAAGTGAGTGTAAAACAAAAGCCTGTACAGCGGACCCTCGCCTAACGAACGCATCGCATAACGTTAAATCCGCCTAGCGATACATTTTAACGCAAAAATTTTGCCTCGGCTAGCGCTAAAAAACTCGCTCAATGCGATTCATTCGAGACTCGTCCACGTGCAGCCTGAGCCCGCCTCACTTGTTCCGTGGGTGCCAGTGTTTACAAGCCAGCCACCGCGGTCGCTTCCATGTATACAATCGGAACATTTCATATTATCACAGCCTTTTTAGTGATTGCACCTGCAAAATAAGTCACCATGGGCCCCAAGAAAGCTTCTAGTGCCAACCCTACAGCAAAAAGAGTGAGAATTACTATGGATATGAAGAAAGAGATCTTTGCTAAGTATGAAAGTGGAGTGTGTGTCTCCGAGCTGGCGAGGTTGTACACAAAACCCCAATCAACCATCGCTACTATTGTGGCCAAGAAAACGGCAATCAAGGAAGCTGTTCCTGCCAAAGGTGCAACTTTGTTTTCGAAACAGAGATCGCAAGTGATAGAAAATGTTGAGAGACTGTTATTGGTGTGGATAAACGAAAAACAGATAGCAGGAGATAGCATCTCTCAAGCGATCATATGTGAAAAGGCTAGGAAGTTGCATGACGATTTAATTAGAAAAATGCCAGCAACTAGTGATGTGAGTGAATTTAAGGCCAGCAAAGGTTGGTTTGAGAGATTTAAGAATCGTAGTGGCATACATAGTGTGATAAGGCATGGTGAGGCTGCCAGTTCGGACCACAAAGCGGCT